TTTCTAGACCCGTTAAAAAATAAGCACTGTGGGTTGCGGAAATCTAAGACCACCCGTCTTACTCACCACAATTTTCTCCTAACGTTCCTTACTAAGGAACTCGGCCATTTTCTAGAAAGTAGAGCTCCAGTAATCAAAACGAAGCTGGAAAAGGTCTTCCCACCTCCAAAACGTCAAATTTGTATGCTAATGAGAATATAAAAATTGTTCGCTGTTTTCAACAAACAAACTCACTTGTTCAAATGTGATAGCATGAAGAAGCTCAAGTTTTATTGCGAAAGGCTTCACGGATCCGAACAAGAATTTAAAAGTTTCCGCTAAATTTTTTCTTTCTATGAAAATTTGGGTGCTCTTAACGATCTGAAATACAGTAATGAGGAAAATGGACTGTTATCGTACTGTCTTCAACAATTAACCTGGGCCCTGCCTTCGAAGGCAGTATGATAACAGTCATTTTTCTGACTGCTGTATTTCAGAACGCAGAGGAATTTGCTATTCGAAGAATGAAATAATTTTTGCAAAAACTTTTGGATCTTTGGAGTCTTCTGCAGTACAGATTTTTGGTGCCCCTTCATGATTTTTTTATTTGGACACTAATGAGGCTTCAGAACCGCCCTGTACTAAGGAAATGCTTACTGACTTCTAATTGACTTCTAACTCCTAATGACTTCTAATTTCCGACTCAAAGTTAAGGGCTCCAAATCTCACCAAGTTCCCACCACCCTGACAGGGATTGCTGAGCTAGCTGTTTCCGCTCTTGAATATTCACCATTGCAGATTATTCACGTCAATTCTGCATCGAGAGAGTACTTCGTTCATTATCAAGGATGGAACAAGCGCTACGATGAATGGATTTCTGAGAAATCCATAATTGGAGCGTCAAGAAAAAAGCAGTCAACTCCGCTGCGCTATGATACGCCAAAAGTTCGCCATTCAAGAAGAGGTAAGGATGAGTTGTGTTTTCGTTTCCTGATTTATTTTACATTGGTTTTTCATCTTCCAGAAAAGAAGCTGAAGAAGCCAATTGACTGGTCACCAACTTCGAGTGCTTCAGCAGCGCTTGCTGCAGAAAAATCTGCTGTGGAAAGAGAGCAGAATAAGGTAGTTTTTAGCTGCTTTAGCTTGGTATAGGTTGCGAAGGAGGTGTATAAATTTCTGTTCTGTTGGAATTAGTTATTAACGTTTCAATAAGTTGCAGCATCATGTTCCCATTACAAAACGAAGGCATTCACCTGCTGTTTCAAAAGCTATCAAGACGCTGCCGGCTTTACCAGTAGTAGCAACTGTTGATGATATGGCCGAAGAAAGGTTAGACTGCTGTTTACTTTGTTTGCTTATAGAGGGTGTTATATGGTCTTTACCATAAGTTGAAGCTCTGTCAACATATAAATTTTTCAGCAAGGGTTTTGTGCCGCTCATAAAAGTGAAATTTTTTTCGTTGGTTTGGGTATGACCAGCAGTTAATGTGATTTGTTTAAAAGTGTCGTAAGCATGAGGTGACACCGAACTGAACTGCAAACTAATTCAGAAGACTTGGGAAAGGCGAAAAATTTGGTACCGTTGAGCTATTACTATCCCGAAATCTGAGGGTATTTTTTTTTGTC